GTATGTACGTATGCATGTATATATGTAACTATCTATGTCTGTATGGTGAGCTATTCCCCATATTGCTTGCATTTCGGATTCTTGTCCACTCAGGGGCGGTAGAAATGGCATATCTGGTAGAGCAATGCTAGATTGTCTAGAGCTAGGTCAACACTTCCTGCCCACCCTCCTGACGGGCACGTTCCCTGAGCCGCACAACCAGTCCAAAGCCTGCTGAAATCTATACGGTCTTTGACTGCAACTCCGGAAGTTCAATGATTCAACTTCCTTCTTTCCACCACAATTTCGACAATTGGAGAGCTTCCAAAGCCTGCCCTTTGTCGGTTGACTCTCCACCCAAATCCCACCCAAATCCTAGATCCTTACGCCCTGATGCCACCACCTCCGCTGAACCACTACCTGGATAAATAAATAAATAAATAAATATATATATATATATATATTTATTTATTTATGTATTTATTTATATTTATTTGTTTATTTATTGGTACTTATATTTATTTATTGATTTATTGATTTATTTCTATTTATCGATTTTTCTGTATTCGTTATAGACTGAACCCTGAACCCTAAACCTCGCAAAGCAATGGAGTTTCTTGCTCAGGTACACCTCTTAAGCCCCTACACCCGAAGCCCTTTTCAGGGTTTCAGGGAACCTAAACCCTTTTGAAACCGGACTTGATGATTGCCAGGCCACCCTAAACCCAAAACCGCAAACCCTCAATGACTCAACCCCAAACCGTAACCCGAAGCCGTTGTTTTTCAGGGTCTCAGGGAACCCATGGGAACCCCCAAAGTCCAGGTCGAGGTTCCGCGGCCCGAGCCTTGCGCGCGGCTTCCAGGAGAACCAGCGCGGAGTCCCAGGTGTCCTGGTTTAGGGTTGACGGGGCTTTAGGGGGTTTAGGGATTTAGGGGCTTAGGGCTTACGGGTAGGGGATTAGGGGATTAGGGTTTAGGGGTTTAGGGCTTAGGGGGCTTAGGTGTTTAGGGTTTAGGGATTTAGGGTTTTTTTGCCTCCTACTTTGCAAGGACGAGCCCGCATTGCAGGGTAATGTGATGTCTTGGGATGTGCATGTCAAGCTTCACCTTTCAGCTCGACTAATTAAGCGGAGAGACCCTTCAAAGGCAATCCACTACAGTACAAGATCGGACCCAATTTAGCCTGATCTCACAACTGACAGCAAGTACTCTAAAGCAGAGGCAAAGAAGGCCATGTTAGCCTGCGCCACAACTCTCTCTAGCTGCCCGTCTTCAGACTGAGGTCAAGTGGTAATGAAATACAAAAGGGTTTAGGGTTTAGGGTTCAGCTTGAGGCTTCGGGCTTATAGGGTTTAGGGCTTCTCCGGGAATTTCTGGGGCTTCGGGTTTGAGGTTTAGGGCTTGTTGGGATTTGGGGTTTAAGGCTTTTTTCGGGGGGCTTCGGATTAAGGGTTTAGGGCTTAGGGGTTGTGGCTGCATTAAGATGTCACACAAGGCTTTGCAGGGCTTTCACGGCTTTTATGGCAGTGGCGGATTAAGTCCAGTCTTAAGAAGTGTATAAGCGTTCGACCCGCTTTGTCTTGTTTATGTGGGTTTATATAGGCACGAGGAGTTTCGGATTGCGGTTCTGGAACTAAGGTCCAGGCGTGAAGCTTTACATTTGGACTGGAGTTCAACCCTAGATCCAAAAGCAACTCTGACCTGATTCGAAGTTGAAAGGTGTAGACCCCTAAACCCTAAACCCCTAAACCCATCAACCCCTAAACCCTAAACCCTGAACCCTAAACCCTAAACCGGATAAAGAAGGCTTAAGCTAGGACTCACAGGAGATCAGGGTTAAAAGAGGGCTTGGCTGTCCGAGCTGGGTGCAAGCTATGTTCTCGCATGTTCAAGGGTGTATGGGGACTTCTGCAAGGGTGCGAAATCGATCACGAAGGGCTTTACAAACAAAATGTAGGAGCCTTAATAATCACAATAGGCGCCTGAAATCTTTGGGGTATATTACACTACAACTGTAGTAAGGAACCCACGAAACAGTGTTCATAGTAATTTATTAGGCCCCTATATTACTTGGTGCATCGCTGGCTTGGATGTTGTGCAGGGTATGGCTTAAGGATTTTTGCAGATATTTACGCTTACGAATGCATTGGAAGAGCTTGGGCGCTAGTGCAACTGCATGTAGGGCCTATCCCAGATGCTCCACAACCCAAAAAAACGAAATACTTCATGGTTTTTAGGTTAAGTACTAAACAGCCCTTTAACGCCTTGACATGATTTGAAAGTTAAAGAACATACACATTGGAACTATGGTAGCACCGAGCTCCACGGATAGATGTGGGTTGAGCGAAGGGGCATCTCCTGTGAGGCGGCTGTGAGCCTTAGGCGTAGTTCTTTCTGAGCTGCGCAAGTTCATCTCTCCCTGCCGATCGTGGGAATTCTAAACTAAGAAATGACCCTGCAAACCCACAGCCCCCAAACTCCCTGAGTTAGACCCATAAGCTCTGCACCGCCTTCATGCCCTCATGCCTCCGCCCAATCGGCGAGAAGGGCACTGAAGCTGATCGCATCTGGAGTCGGACGTTGCTGCGGCCTTGGAGATTGGGTAAACTCGTTGGGCTGGCTTTTCAATTTGTGTTAACTAAGTGGGTTTAGGGTTGAGGGTCTAGGGCCCTGTCAAGTTGTAGAAGCTAAGTGGGGAGTGAAGGGGCTCGGGTTAGGGCTTCAACTCTTCGGATGCATGGCTTAGGCTGTCTTGAGCACCTTAGGGTCAACATACAAGACACATCTGGAGAACATGCTTCACCGACCTTGATTGCTTTTGAGTGTATAGGGTCTGCTGAAATCATCGGCAATCGTAACCACGCAGCACAACGGCCTGCTGCAACTGGCACACGGGCTCGGCTATAGCACTATAGTGGACTGACAACTTAGGATACAGGCTTTAGCTGTTTTAGGGTCTACGGATCAACAGACATATGCATTCAGTGAAGAACGCCGACCGATGTGATATCTATGTATATGTATATATATATATATATATGTACATATCTATACATATACAGGCAGACAGACAGACAGACAGACAGACAGACAGACAGACAGACAGACAGACAGACAGAAGGACATACGACACCGCTTTGCCGCTGTCCCAACATCCGAAGCACTGAAACCTGGGCACAAACAAAAACCAACCCTGGGACAAGCTGCACCTTGCCGCTAGAGTCCCAAAGCACGAACCTGAATCGTATAGCCCCCAACTACTAGCCCTTTTCAGCATGGGCTTGGACTGTGTGCCCCCACTACCAACCCTACACCTGTAACCCCAAAACCCTAACCCCCTACCAGCCCTAAACTCTAAACCTTTAACCCGAAACCCCAAAACCCCAAACAGCCCTTTGCTGTCTCTAAGTCGCGGGCATCTCGGAAAGTGCGGTCATGGCCTGCGCCCAGCGCCTTCCGCGTCCAAGAGCCCTGAGCAAGGAGTTACCTGGGTTAGTTTACCCATAGGCTCAATAGGAGTTCCTTTTTGGTGGTTTGTACTTAGGATCCTAAAAGGTAATTCCAAAAAAAAAAAGGGAGCTACTATGGAGCCTATGGGTAGAGCCAACTGTCGGGCTGAGCGTTCGAAGTTTAGG